TGTGTGTGTGTGTGTGCGTACGTGTGTGCGTATGTGTGCGTGTGTGTCGTGTATGTGTGTGTGTATGTGTGTGTGTGTGTGTCTTGCACAGTGTACTCTTGCGTGTGTCGCACATGTACACGTGTGTCTCTTGCACAGGTCAAACTGTACAGTGCTCTTTCTTACGTCGGAGAGCATCGGCAAGTCTGCGCCGCGAAAGTCCCAGGAAAAGGTGGAGGGCAAACTTGGGCGGGAATACGACATGTCGTCATCGTCATCGCGCTCAAAAAACCTATTTTGTGCGTGTGTGTGTGTGTTTGAGGTGGGACCTGTGCCGTTGGTGTTGTTGTGGGACACTGGCAGCATTGTGGGTTTGGCTACGAAATGCACACGCGACACATGCGGCTCACTGCTCTCGTTCGACGTCGTCCGTGGACATTTGGACCGTGTAAGCCTCAGGCAGGTGCAGGCCAGTGGCGTCCGTTTCCACGGTTCTTCCAGCCTCCACCTGCACGCCTTGCGCCGGCAGGTGGCCAGGGGCCTTTCCACCGCCTGCAAAGGGTGCGTGTTTGTGTCAATGTGAGTGTGAGTGTGTCAATGTGTGCGTTCGTTTGTGCGTTCGTTTGTGCGTTCGTTTGTGCGTTCGTTTGTGCATGTGGGTGTGTGTGTGTGTGTGGGTGTGCATGTATGTAGACGCAGGTACAGGTACGAGAGATGTCATCGTGCATTGAGGACAACGTACCAAAGCCCGACTTGCGGGCTGCTGCAATGCACGGGATCAGTCGAATTGAGTGTGTGTGTGTGTGTGAGTGTGAGTGAGTGTGTGTGAGTGTGTGTGAGTGGGAGCGTGAGAACATGTGTGAGTGTGAGTGTGAGCGTGAGTGAGTGGGATCGATTAACTAAAATGCACAAGAAGGGAATCATGCAGTCTCAGTACACACACACACACAAGCCTACACACACACACACACGCACACACACGCACACGCGCGCGGTACTTTGTCGCGTGCGAGCCATCGTCGTCGTCGTAGTCGTCGATGCCAGTCAACAAGGCACAGGTAAATGGCGCAAGCGATGCAAACCGTGGACAACCCCGCCAAAGGGCGCGTGTGGGCGACTCCAAGAAGAAAGCAGGCACAACAAAACAAAAGCAAAAAAGCAGGCAAAGATCGGTGGACGAGGCACGAGCACGATGAGACAGGTTGTCGTCGGTGCTGTTGTTGTTTGATGTGCTCACTGACTGGCTGCCAAAAATGATCGTCCTCCGTAATTCCCCCAGGCTGGCAGTGAACTTCCCGCACAAAAACACCAAACAAAACAAACGAAAAACCTGTTTCTGCCTGTCGCCGTCGCGCTCAAACTTGCATGTGATGTGTTGTTTTTTTAAGGTACCAGGTTGAAGGCCTTGTTGTTGTTGTTGTTTTTTTGCGATTGCGTTCGACGATATTGTGGCTGATCATACAACGCAAACAACAACAGCGACGACGCTCACTCGAGACTGAGACAGCGACGACGCGGATCAACCAGCCAGAGAGGCGAGACGAGGGAGAAGATGAAGCGAGGGGAGAGCGCTGTGGCGTGGGTGTACGCCGTGCTGAGTGCAGGCTTCTTCGCGGCATGCGGCTGGGCGCAGGTGAACGACCCGGACCCGGAACGCTGGGTCACCTTCTACGTCGTGTGCGGCAGCGTGACGGCGCTGGTGTGGGCAGCAACCGCCGCCGAAGCAACGGGGAGCACCGCCGCCGCCCTCGGCAGGCTCCTCTCGCTCGCAAGCCTAGTGCTGTCAAGCATGGTCACGGCGGTGTTGGCCAACGACGTGCTGCTAGTACTGGAGAAGGACGAGGACGGCGCGGTTGCACGGCTGCCACCTCTGCTCACCGCAACTGGGCTCGCGCAGTGGTTCTGGCACGTGCTGGAGCTGGAGGAGGGCCGCGAGGTCATTGGCGTGCTGCTCCTCGTCATCCACAACCTCCTCCTCGTGTTCACCTCGCAGGCGGCTGCCGCCAGTGCTGGCGCCCCAGCACAGAGCCAGGCCAAGAAGAGCAAGGCCAAGCGACAATTGAAGAAGAAGCCTGCGTGGTCGTGGGCACAGGTGCTCGGTATCCTGGCCATGCTGGCACTGCTCGGCGTCGCCGTGTACGCCTGGGTCGAGTACCAGCCGCTCATGAACTCGCGCTACAACACGCCCCACTGCAACGGCGCCTTTGACCACCCTTTTGCCCACAACAATGACGCCAATCAACACTAAGCAAACCACCTGGTGCGTGTGTGTGTCTGTGTGTGTCTGTGTGTGTGTCTGTGTGTGTCTGTGTACGTATGTACGTGTGTGTGTGTCTGTGTGTGTGTCTGTGTCTGTGTACGTATGTACGTGTGTTGTGGCTTGATTGCGGTGGGATAGCGAGGGGTGGTGTTATTACTTGTATGGTATTGAGACAACGCTACGCATGCCATGCGGTCCCATTGTTACAACTGGGTTTTCCTTGTTTGCCCTATCGCTTGGCGTCGCCGTCGCCACTTGCTCTTCTTCTTATTGCGACGTCAACCATGGATGCCCGTGCATCGATATCGCTACACCGCTCCAAGATTTCCCGCTCTTTCTCCGCCATCTGTTACGTGGTGGTGTGTTTGTACGTGAGAGAAAGTGTGTGTGTGTGTGTGTTGTGTGTGTTGTGTGTGTTGGTTGGTGCATTCAACTTGCTTGCCGACTCGCTCGCTTGCTCGCTTGCTTGCACTTGCTCGCTCGCTTGCACTTGCTCGCTTGTACATTCCCGCCCCCCCCCCCTTCCCTTTCATCTGCAAACTGCACCTTGGTTGCGTTGGCTTGCGTGTCGTGATCGTAGCCCAATAAATGACATAGCCCATGTGTCGCCACCACCTGCACGAGAGTAGAGCACGTGCGAGGGAGCGTCGGGTGAGGGAGAGGGGGAGGCGGGTGCGGGGGAGGGAGAGGCGGGGTCAGCAACACAGTGACACGGTGCAAACACACATGCACGCACAATCACAAATACGTGCACACAGTACACACACACACACACACACACACAATCACAAATACGTGCACACACATGCACGCACACTCGCACCTTGAGTTCATCTTGGAGAGTGAGGTGGGAGGTTTGCTGCGCTTGGATGGTGTCCAGGGAGAGGAAGATGTCGCCCAAGTCCTTCTCGTCCTCAAACTCAACCGGCGGCAACGTGCCAGGTGTCGTTACCTGCAGTTGAAAGCCGGCATGGGATGCTGTTGAGGGTTGCAACTCGGTCTCTCCCAGTTGTGCATCAACGCACACACACACACACACACACACACACACACACACACACACACACACACACACACACACACACACACACCTCGTGAAAGGGGAAGGAGAGGACGTCTGTGGATGCGCCGACGCCCCTGTATTGCTGGTTGATTTCCCGCATGCGCTCTGCGCTCACAAAGGTCACCGCCATGTCATAGTCTGCCACCCGCAACAGCTCCCGAGCACATTCTGCGATGTATTAAGAAGGGGGGGGGAGGGAACGGCTGAGCGAGCACATTGGCACGTAGAAACCAAAGGCGCACATGAACATAAACACACACACTCACTCACTCACTCACGCACACACACACACACTCACTCGCTCACACACTCACACACACACACACACACTCACTCGCTCACACACACACTCACACACACACACACACACACTCACTCACTCGCTCACACACACTCACTCACACACACACACACTCACTCACTAACACACACACACACACTCACTCACTCACTGAACGCACTGAGGTGGGCACGCAGCGACGGCAGCAAACAGCTCACACTGCTGGGTGCTGCAGTCCTTCCTGCCGTCTCCACAGCAATCCGCAACATTCCGCAAAACAAGCAAGCAAGCGAACAACGCTGACGACGAAGATGAAACGCAGGAGCAGCAGGAGCAGTGATGACGACACCAAGGACGCGCCACCCCACCCTGTGATGGCGAGCCTGGTACGCTCGACGGCTGCGCGGCGGCGGCGCCAACACCTACACTTTGGCGTGAAGCAGGAGCCAACGACCACAGCAACGGCACGGACAGCATCAAGGACAATGTCAACAACCACCACGAGCACCACGAGCGCGAGCACCACAACCGCGAGCACCACAACCGCGAGCACCGTTCGTGGCACAGCGGCAAGTCGGAGACAGCACAAGGGCCGAGGTGCCTCGTCCAAGCCGTCGTCTCTGGCATTGCTCAGCCCCGAAGAGCAGGCGGAGATCGCAGATGCTGCCGCATCTCTCCTCGGGGACAATGATGACGACGACAACGATGGTGATGGTGAGGGTGATGGCGATGGTGATGGCGATGGGGATGGTGATGATGGTAAGGCTGGTGGTGCGAACAAGAATGGTGGTGAGGTCGTTGTCATTGATGATGACGATGATGATGACGACAGTGGCAGCGTCAACTGCAACGCAGACGGTACCATCATTGTCAAGGATGAGGAGGAGGACGAAGCAAAGCAGTCAATGAAGCGCCCGAAGATTGAGGAGAGCGTTGGGTGCCCCAGCAGCCCGCACTTGGCCCGATCCGCAAGGGCAAGGCGCACCACAACCAGCGCCAGCAGACGGCCTCCTGCAACGTCAACAGCGGCGTCTGCTTCATCCACGTCTTCCTCGTCGACCTCTACTGTCTCTATCAAGAGAGAGACGGGCGCAGCGCAGTCTCGCCCTTCCGCCCTGCCATCCTCCTCACTTCCCTCTTCCTCCTCGCATGCTTCTGCTTCCTCTTCGTCTTCAATCGCACAGCAGCAAAGCGGCGACAGCGCCCCTGGCGCCAACAGGGCTGGCCCAGGCGTGCTGCGCGTTGTGTCGTGGAACATCAACGGCCTCACGGACCGGCCCAGCCGGCTGCCGCGCACATACATCCACATGTGCGACGAGCTGCGGTCCGTCGAGCCAGACGTCGTCCTGCTGCAGGAGGTGGAGCCCACCTACTACGATCACCTCCTGCTGGTTATGCAGTCGCTCGGGTTTATCGCCTGTCACGACCAGCCGCGCATGGCTGCCGCCGCCAACCCCATGCTCGCCTTCATGTTTGCTGCCGCTGGAGGCGGCGTCGGCATGTACGATATGGACACAAACCCGACACGCGCGCCACCCTACTTCACCATGTCGTTTATCCGGCGCGGGCGGCTGTCGCTCATGTCCCACCGCCGCACGCCCTTCCACAACACGAACATGATGCGTGACCTCAACACCTTGGACGTGCGCTGCGACAGAACGATGCGGCGCCTATGGATCGGCAACGTCCACCTCGAGAGCTGCAAGGAGTACTCCCAGCAGCGCTGCCAGCAGTTTACGGAGTGCCTGCAGGCCCTTGACCGCCACGCTGTTGGCATCGTCATTGGCGACACCAACCTGCGCGATCCCGAGGCAAGGCGCACCCTCGACGCGTACCTCACGTCGCACCCGCAGTCTGGGATTGACGACGCCTGGCTGATGGCGGGCAGTCCACCAGCAGCCCGTTGGACGTGGGACACGCGCGTCAACGACACGCTCGACACAAGCAGGTGGCAGTCGCGTCCGCACGCGCGGTACGACCGCTGCTTTGTCAAGGGCCTGAAGACGCTGGAGTTTCAACTCCTGGGCACGCAGCGCAAGCCCAATGGCTTCATCAGCGACCACTTTGGTGTCTGCATCGACTTTGAGTGGCCCCCAGCACAACGGTGACGACAATGCTGTGCGTGTGTGTGTGTGTCTGTGTCTGTGTCTGTGTCTGTGTCTGTGTCTGTGTCTGTGTCTGTGTCTGTGTCTGTGTCTGTGTCTGTGTCTGTGTCTGTGTCTGTGTCTGTGCGTGTCTTTGTGTGTGTCTGTGTGTGTGCGTGCGCGCGCGCGCGCGCGTGTGTGTGTGTGTGTGTGTGTGTGTGTGTGTGTGTGTGTGTGTGTGTGTGTGTGTGTGTGTGTGTGTGTGTGTGTGTGTGTGTGTGTGTGTGTGTGTGTGTGTGTGTGTGTGTGTGTGTGTGTGCTCTTAATTGCTCTTTCTGCCTTTAATGGTCTTGCAATGTACCGCGGCCCCTCGGCACGTGTGCCCTGATTTGTTCCTCCACTCTGTTTCAATCGCAGCCTGTGCATCTGCGCCACTTTGCGATCAGCGCTCGCCGACCTTTGTTCATCTTTCCTGTCCTTGTTTCCTTTCTTGCTTGCTTTGCCTGTTTGCGTGCCTCCTTCCCTGATTCCCTTTCGCTTACTTGCACTTCCTCGGTTGCTTCCTTCCTTTTCCTTGCCATAAGCAGCAGCAGCAGCTGATTGTGGTTGCACGTGGGTCGCACGTGGGTCGTTTAATGTTGGGCATTCCTTTGCCCGAAATGAACAACAGGGGTTGAAAAACGATGAACGAGAACTTAACGGTTTCGTGACGGATGAACGAATGAACCAACACCTCAAGCAAGGTCGCAACCACGTCAAGAGACAGAGAGAGGTTCCAGCCTCCAAACCAGATGGTCAAAATCAAACGCAAACATGCAGGAACTGCATGTGGATCAACAGACAACTACAGCAAGCAAACTCGTGAACAGGGCATCAGCAGTGCTGAGCATAAAGCCCACGCACACAGAAGCTCACACACGCCCACAGAAGCTCACACACACACACACACCACGTGCTAGAGGTATTCCGACTCGACGCGCTGCTGCGACTCCTGGCAGAAGTTCTTGATAAAGTCGTAGCAGTTGAACCGCCAGCACTGCGGGCAGTCTGCCGTCTGTCCCGTAAACAACATTGGTATCGCAAGCGCAAACTAATTGTGTTGCATGTGTGTGTTTCGTGTGGGTTTCAACAGATGAGCAAGTGATTGCGTGAAACTCCACCAACCCCGCTCCCCTTGTCCCCCCTTTGCCTGCCCCTCTCACAACAGGACAACAGCAGCCAGCGCACCATGGCGACGACAGCGCCGAGTCCAATGATGGTGGCGATGCGTTTGCGCGCGCGATAAAACGACTTGGACGTGAACGACTGCCACGGCAGAAACGCAAAGCTCCTGTTGCATTGTGGGTGGCAATGGTGGTGGTGGTGATGCTCTCGTGAGTTGAGGCGGGGGAGATGCAGAGTGATCGAAGCGAGTGGGGGCTGACCATACACAGTGTGGGCGGTGTTCGTGCGTGCGTATGATCGAAAAACACGCGCAAGCATGCTTGCATGCACGCCATCTTGAAGAGCACACGTACGCTGCGATGCCAAAGACAAAGCCGGCGAGCTGGGAGAAGTTGTCGACAAAGGGCAGCAGCCCGAAGATGAATGCACACGTGGTCAGCAGCAGCAGCTTGAACAGCTCTCTCCCGGGACTCACAACTTGCTGTACGTGTGTGATGGTGTGTGATTGTGTGATGAATGAGAGAGGGAGAGAGAGAGAGAGAGAGAGAGAGAGTGTGTGTGTGTGTGTGTGTGTGTGTGTGTGTGTGGGTGTGGGTGTGTGGGTGTGGGTGTGGGTGTGGGTGTGGGTGTGGGTGTGGGTGGGTGATGGTGTACGGTGACGTCGAGCGGAGAGGTTGAAGATGGGGAGGCGTCAGATTGATGGAAACGAAAACGCCGTGGATATACATGCACGTGATGTGTGCAGCGTGCCACCATCCAACACAACAACACAACAACAAACAACACGCAGGGGAGACAACTCGCGTGGACGCACCTTCCAGGATTCAAACAGCTGGAGCAGCAAGCACGCGAGGAGGCCGTACACGCCAGGAGACGGGCCCGCTTTCACCTGCACAGGGTGGGGATGGGTGATGGTTGGTTGGTTGGTGAACAACAATATTGGGAGAGGATGGCGTTGGGCTGTGCACGAACGCGATTACACACACGCACACATGCACACACACACGCACGCACGCACATGCACACAAACAAACACACATACGCACACACACACACACGCACACGCACACGCACAAACACACAAACACACAAACACACACACACAAACACAAACACACACCTGGTATGGTGCGAGGATGATTGCAATGGTATATCCGCCAATGGCCGACACGAGGTAGATGAGGGCAAGACGCGTCCAGCCAATCGCCTGATGTTTGTTGGGAAGGAGAAGGAGAGGAGGGTGTGTGTGAGTAACACAGGCCAACGTACGAACGTGCAGGGAGATGAGATTGAGAGAGAAAGAAGTTCACAACAACACAGAAAGCCAGTGCAGCTGCACACACACACACACACACACACACACACACACACACACACACACACACACACACACACACACACACACACACACACACACACACACACACTCAAACACACACACACACACACACACTCAAACACACACACACACACACACACAAAACCGTTGACGCACGCGTTCGAGCGGGACGCCGAGGGAGAGTTGTGCAAGGAGGAAGACGAGGTGGTGCACGGCACCGACAGGCACAAACGGCGCCAGGATCAGCCGGTACCACTGGTCGGGGATGTACTTGTTGGCAAACTTGCCCAGCTGGCAGATGGAGTTGAGGCAGTCGACCTCCCGACACGACACGGCCTCGCTGTGGAAGTACCCGTCCAAGAAATCGCACTCGCTCTGCAGACGTGGTGGGAGAGAGAGAGAGAGAGTGTGTGTGTGTGTGTGTGTGTGTGTGTGTGTGTGTGTGTGTGTGTGTGTGTGTGCATGTGCGTGCGTGTGTGTGTGTGCGCGTGCGTGTGTGTGTGTGTGTGTGTGTGTGTGTGTGTGTGTATGTGCGTGCGTGTGCGTGTGTGCGTGCGTGCGTGTGGGTGTGTGTGTGCGTGTGTGTGTGTGTGTGTGTGTGTGTGTGTGTGTGTGTGTGGGTGTGGGTGTGTGTGTGTGGTTATGATGTGAAATAAGATGAGACTGCGTGCCATAGGATGGGTGTGATGCCTTTGAATCAAGGAAGGCTAAGGGCAAACAACAATAGCAGTGCGCTCAGTGCGTGCGTGATGTGCACCTGCGTCTTGATGGAGCACTCGCCAAAGACGCCATAGCAACACGGGCGTGCTGTCACTTCACAGCGACACACGTCGTCTTTCGGATCCGACGAAAGATTCTCCTCAGGTACACGTGAGCACCCTGACAAAGGACATGAGACAGTGTGAGTGAGTGAGTGCGTGAGAGATGTGGGTTGAGGGTGAATGAGCAAGTGTCAGTGAATCGTGATTGCGCATTGGAGCATGTATGCAGCCAATCAAGGTAAAGCCGCACACACACACACACGCACGCACACACACACCTGGCCATGTGCCTCCGTTGCAGCAGTATTGGCCATGGCACACGGTGTCATTGTAGAAGCGCTGTCCACCTGGAGCAGACGGTGAATGGATTGCAGTGATGAGCATGGTGGACGGACGAAGGTGAGTTGAACATGTACACGGGAACACACACGCAAGAGCAGCACCACCACTGACACGCAATCACACTCTCACACTCTCACACGCACATTCACACTCACACATACATACATACACATAAACACACATACATACAAACACATACATAAATACACATACATACATGCACAAACTCACACTCACACTCACACTCACACACTCACACAAACTCACACTCACACTCACACTCAACAATCACACTCAACAATCACACATACCGAGCTCGCTGCACTTCTGTTCCGTGGTGGAGAAGCAGTATTGGCCACCAACGCGTACGCAGCAGCCAAAGTCGTCATCCTTTGCACGCTGGTGATCCACGTAGTTGTTGACGGCGTCATCACGGCGCATGCACGGCCCGTACGCTCCGCCCATACCAATGATCCGCCTTGTCGTGGGGCCTGTAAACGTACACGTGTCATGGTGGCGGTGTTGGCAGTGGTGATGAGAGAAGTGTACACGTGTTCATGCGTGCGTGAAACGGGCGCATACATGTTTGGGTTCACGAAGGGACCCGTTGCAACATTGTGAAAAGGAATGTGTGATTGAGCGTAGTGGAGACACCGGGAAAGTCACTTGCCGATGAAGATGTTGCCTGTGAGGTTCTTGGTGACGGAGACGGGCACGCCATCAGGTCGATACACCTGCCCACTCACTTCTTTGGTCCTGTAATCGATGGGTGCACGATCGAAAACGGAGAGCGCCACGATCAAGCACAGGCTCTGGGCATGGCAACGGTGGTAGTGGTGATGGTCGGCGTGGGTGGAGGGCGTGACACGAGAGCAAAGTGTGAGTCGGCAAGTAAGGGTAGGTCATGATATGGGGGTGTCTCTCAACCCGTGTGTGTGTCTCTAACTATGTCTGCGGACGCCCCTCTCCCCATCCAAATGACAAACGCACACACGCACGCACACACGCACGCACACGTACATACACGCACACACAAAGCACACACACACACACACAAACGCACACACACGCACACACACGTACACACAAACACACGCACACACACAAACGCACACGCACACACACGCACACACACAAACGCACACACACCTGCACAAAGACAGCCCAGTATGTGAAATATGGACGGTAGGTGCGAAGTGTCTGAATGTCCTCCTTGTTCTGGATGATGAGGTGTGCCAGTCGCTTGCCGCGAGCAGACATTAGAGAAAGGCGTCGCTGTACCGCACTTTGCGGCCGGGGCGTGCTCTCAGATGGCATGATGGTGCTGTCTGGAAGCAAGTTCTTGCTTGCCAACGCTGTCTGATGCGTGGTTCCAAATGTGCGCCTGTGTCTTCGTGTCGGTGTTTGTGTGTGCATGCGATGTGCGTGCATGTGAGAGAAAGCCAACAACGCGACGCTGACACACAAGAAACCCAAAAGTCAAGAGAAAGGGAGGGTGCAAGGTAAGGCGAAAGGGAAGGGTTTGCTTCGCGATCCTCAGCCAGCAAGCCGTGCACAACAAACAACCTCAGCACAGCACCACATCCAGTCAACAACCAACCTGACGCCGCTTCGTCGCTCCTCCACACAACTTCCTGCTGAAACTGAATTCAGTGTCCTATTGGTACTGAAATCAGTCTTCTCCTTGGACGCTGATGACTTGCTCGATTTGGCTGGTATGACTTTCCACAACCCCCCCCCCCGGAAGAGCGCGCTCGCCTGCTCTCGCGCGTGTGGCTGGTCTGCCTTTCTGTCGGGCTCTCAGTACCAATCACCCCCCCCACGACCTCAAGACCTCATCCTTTGACAGTTGGACAGCGGGAATAAAAGAGGCTAGCATTTCATCCTTTTCATCGCTTGGGTATGGAGGCCATGTAAGGTTGAGGTTTGTGATGATTTTGCATGATAAGGGACTCTTGTTGTAGCATTCCACCACAGACGGTGCGTTTGCGTTCCTTCGGTTTACCCAGAACAAGAACACTCGAACGGCACACCACACTCGATCAAAACCAAGAACAGAAAGCAAACAAACTGACAAAGAGGAACTGGCCAGGAGCCCAGGAGCAAGCAACCACTTTGAGAGAAGACGAGATGATCCCTTGATCCGGAATCCACTCAGCCACTCAGAACGGCAGTTCACATGCCCACAGTAACAGGCACGCATCACGCATCGAATTAAAAACACGACAGCAAACCACACATGCAAAGCAAGCCGGCGTTCATTTGCTATGACGCTTCTGGCTCATGGGCAAGCGGATCACGGCGCATGGAGATGGCGCGCTTTGGTGTCATGCGCAGCTTTGGAAACTGAAACATGCCGCGCAGCGCTTCTCCCGATGCGCTCATGCGCGGCTTCAGCGTATCTGCGGCGTGACGCACAGCACACAAAGGTCGAATGTGAGGAAACGGCGCTGCGACGACCCCAGCATGTGGAATAGTTATTGACACCCACGGCACTCGCACGGCACACCATGTTACGCACATCACACGCATATCACACACACCACAAATGCGCTCGCCCAGATCTCCATCACGATCACAGCACACAACTTATACTGACCGATGCGAAGGCGTCTGCGAGTCTTCTGACGAACCAGCGGGCCTTCGACACTGGTTGTAATCTGACGAAGAACAGCCAAGCTTTCGCGGTCAGGCCCTTTCTCTTGCACACGCACAACCCACGTGTGGCACTCCTGTTCCTTGTCGTGAAGTTGTTCCACATACTCGCGGTCATCCTGAGGAAGCAGCTCATTGTCAATGTCATCGAGGATGGCCTGGCAGTCGGCCATGAGCCGGTTGTAGCGCTGCTCCAAGCCATCGTAACCGCTCTTTGCACGCTCATTGTGCAGGCCGGTGCTGCCCACGAGGTTGGTCCACGAGTTCACCTCCTGCATGTAGACGGTGTGGTGCGCCTCAAATGCTTCTGTCTTGGGCAGTGTTTCCACGTCGGTGAACTCGAAGGACACATGGTCCACGGCATAACCAAACACGGTGAGTGTGGTGGCGTTCAGATTCGTGCGCAGGGTGTGCCACACAACCTCCTCGTCCTCAGCCTGGATGGTGTGGACCAGCTCGCCGTAGAGCATCGTGGACGATCCGCTGTAGTCTGCCGCGTCTTGGCCCTCACGCAACGTGACATGGAACTGCTCCAGCGAATCTGGCAACGTGATGTTGCAGCGCATCCTGCTCTTGTTTGCCTTTCGTTTGATGTCCTCCTCCAACGAGCGCAGCGCCTCGCGCAGACTCACATCCAACGTGACGCCGTCGTGCTCGCGTGCAAACAGATAGAACGAATTCTCTTGCGGAACCACCTGCAAAGTGGCATGAGGTGCCATGAATACAACTGAAAAGTGAGAGAGGGGGGCGAGAGTGGGGGGGAAGTGTGTGTGTGTGTGTGTGCGTGTGTGTGTGCGAGATATATATATATACATATATATATATCAGGCACGCGAGTTACGAGTGCGTGCACCGCAGTCTTAATATTCGTTGTTCCATGCCAGACAACAGGACAGCGGTGGCAAATCACACGCCAGTAACTGAGATGCTCCCCACAGCAGCGACACCTCCGAAACGCCGGCAACACGCCTGTGACACACCTTCTGCATACGGGCGAGAAATTCCGTTTCATGGGTGGCGCCGACGCCAGCAACATACATGTTGACTTCATTGCCAATCATGGATGCCGAGTTGAACTTCTCAACCGCGCTGGACAGAGCTTGAAATCGGTCATCCGACGGCATGCTGGCCACTCCATCCGTCATGACGACGAGATACAGCTGGTGCTGCTCGTCTGGCTTGGCCGTCGAAACCTCCATCGCACCGTCGATTTCGCGGGCAAGGCGATCCACGACAATGTCAAAGTCGGTCCCCCCATTCGGGCCAGCGTGCATGATCTTGTCGCACACAGCATCAATCCCCTCCGCTTCCGGAAGGTCCATTTCTTCCAGCTTGGTGTTGAAGTACACGAGGCGGAACGCGCCGAGGTTGGCCTCACAACAAGTGCGGTAGATGTCACTGTTGACAGGCAAGTCCTGTCTGCTGAGTCATCATTGACCTCCCTTCTTCACGACATCACAAATTTGCATTCACCTCTCTTGTGTTCTGGAATGTTCACGTGATTTCCCTCCAACCTGTTGCACGTGCAGTGTTTAGCTTGTGTGGTTGCTCGATGTTACATGCTCTTGCATAACACACCACATAACCACACAACTCTCAACAAACACTGCCACGTCACCACTTTGCGTTGTCGACAATTCTTGTCTTCTGCTCTGTTTCTTTCTGTTGGAGTGTTCATTCATCCTACATCCTTGTTTGCTTCACAACTCAAGTAAACACACACAACTCTCTCTTGCCAAGACAATCTCCCACACAACACACAGCACACACAGCACACACACACACAAGTCTCCAACAACAGCACCACCACCATGAACTTACAACAGATTATGAGACCCAGCACCATCAGCGCGGACGGCATCAAGGTCTTCGCTGGCGCTGAGCAGGATGCCAACCTCTTCTTCATCACCGTTGAGGCCAAGCTCATCGCCGCTGGCATCGACGCTGGCATCATCGCCGAGGGTGGTGCTGACCACCAAGGAGACAGGCAGGCTCCAGCAGCTGCCTCATCGCCGAGCCCAAGCACCCACGGTGCTTCGGGTCCCCGCACTCGCTCCCGCGCTCAACGCGGCCCTCGCCGCACTGGCGCCCGCCACGACGCGGAGGACCACGACGACGATGACGACGACGAGGGCGATGGCGACGACCACGGCGCTCAGCCATCTTCCTCCTCTTCCTCTCTCCCTTCTTCCGCCACTCCGAGCGGAGGAGCGCAGGTGGCGTCCCGAGCCTCTGGTCTGATGGATCCCCGTGATCCACAGGTTGACGCAGCCATCTTCGCGTTCCTCCTTGGCGTCCTGACGGGACACCCGCTGCGGCTGGCCATCACCGACAACCGTGGCCGCTCCGGTGTGCTTGCGCTGCGCCGCCTCCGCGAGCGCTACATCCGCAGCGGCAAGGACCACGTGAGTCGTCTCAGGCAGCAGCTCTCCTCGACCACCTGGTTGCCCACGGACACCGTCGACACGTTCATGTCCCGCATCACGGACATAAACTCGCAGCTCCTCGCTGCCGGCGTGTCCATCCCGGAGGACGACCTGCGCACCCTCGTCCGCAACGAACTCCCCGCGGAGTTTGATGTGGCGATGCGGTTCATGGAGCGCGAGGACCCGCCGCCATCGCTGTCCAAGATGACGGCGGACCTCATCCAGGAAGAGCGCCGCCTGCATCGTCCCAAGAAGCGCACGCCTGTGCTCGCCATCGGTGGGCCAGGCCCCAGCTCCTTCGCTGCATCGCCGATGCACGCTGGCACGTCGCCCTCCGACACGAGCGGTGGACCATGCTGTCCACCTGCAGAGCGCGTGACTTGCGCGTTCTGCAACTTCCGCGGCCACTGCGCGCAGCAGTGCCGCAAGCTGCAGGCGGCCAAGCGCTACCACGTCATCGACGTGCGGCAGATCCTGGCTACGCTTCGCAACCACGGCAACGGCAACGGCAAGCGGCCAGGATCCTCTCGCCCACAGCACGGACGAGCAGCTCCATTCAAGAAGGCGGCCGTCGTCAGCCACGGCCCTCAGCGCGTGGAGACCTTCGCCATCCACCACGATGCCCTCATGCTGCAGCCCGAGGGCGAGGAGGAGGGCCACGCCATCGGACCAGTGCCACCACAGGTGTGGCTCGCTGACAGCGGTGCCACGGCGCACATCACCAGCGACGCCTCCCTCCTCACCAACTACGTCGCCGTCACGCAGCACGTCACCGTTGCCAACAACCAGACCGTCACGGTCATCGGCAAGGGCGACTGCGTGCTCCGCGTGACTGGCACAGACGGCGCTCCAGGTACCATCACGCTCAAGAACGTGCTGCATGTCCCCGATATCAAGTACAACCTTCTGGCGCTGAACCTGGTGACTCGCGCGCGTCGTGGTGCTTCCGTCGTCATTGCTGCGGACGACAGCCGCATCCAGTTTGCCACATGGAGCGTGCCTCTGCTGCCGTCCAAGGACACCGGCCATCTCTTCCTCTACGCCAGCACCACGACCTCCCAACAAGCCACGGCGCTTGCGGGGGAGCTCGTGCACAGCAGCGACGGGGAAGCCGAGGATGCTGACGAGGACGCCTCTGCACACGACGTGCTAGGCCATCGCAGCAGCGCGGCCGTTGACGCCATCCGGCAGCAGATCGCCCAGGCCTCTTCCAAGCACATCGTCACCTGTGGACCATGTGCGCTTGGCAAGAGCACGCGCGCCTCCATCCCAAAGCAGTCTGCTCCACGTAGCGCTGGGCCATGCCAGCTGCTCTACGCCGACATCGCCGGTCCGCTGGAGGAGACGTCGCTGCGAGGTGCACGCTACGCGCTGACCTTCATCGACGACTGCACGCGTTTCGCCTGGACGTTTCTCATCCGGCACAAGAACGACGTCGGTGCGGCCCTGGAGCAGCTGCGCAAGGACCGTCACGTCATCAACGCGCTCCGAGGCGCCACGCTGCAGACGGACAGCGACGCCGTCTTCAAGAGCCAGGACTTCACCGACCTGTGCCTGGCCTTCGACATCAAGCAGCGCTTCTCGCCACCGCACTCGCAGGCCAAGAACGGATCCGCGGAGCGCACCTTCCGCACCCTCTTTGAGACGGCGCGCACGATGCTGTTTGCTGCGGACCTGGACAAGCCGTTCTGGGGCTTCGCCGTGCAGCACGCCACGCTGCTGCACAACATCGCGCCACGCAGGAGCCTCAAGGACAAGTCACCGTTCGAGGCCCTGACTGGGCACCCCTTCGACGTCAGCCTGTTGCGCGTCTTCGGCTCGCCGGCCTACGTGCATGTGGAGAAGAGCAGCACGCGGCACAAGCTTGACCCACGCTCACGCGTCGGCGTCTACGTCGGCTTCGCCGAGGAGGACCAGGCCCACGTCGTCTGGATGCCGGACACGCGACGCGTTGTCCACACCATCCACGCTCGCTTCGGTGCCAGCGCCATCAAGAACAAGGACGTCGCCTCCTCTCAGCAGCAGCAAGAGCAGGACAACAGCGGTGCCTCTGCTTCGCATGCCAATAAGACCGCTCAGCGTTCAACCGAGGACAGTGCCACCGGCGCTCCCACTGCACCACGTGCGGGGGAGCCGCAGCTCCAGCCACGCGCCCTTGGCGGCTCCGTCTGGGACCAGCTGCTGGTGTCCGAGACCCTCGGCGACAAGGACACCTCTGGTGGCTCAACCACCACGTGTCACGTTGCCACCAGCGCTGCTGGTACGGGGGAGAAGACATCAGCAGTGGGTGGTCATCTACCAGACATCGCTGTTGGCAGTGTTGCCACGTCAGCTGAGCCAGCCACCGTCAAGGAGGCGCTTGCCTCGCCAGACTCTGAGGAGTGGCGCCAAGCCATCCTGGACGAGTTTGCGGCAATGCAGGCCAATGACGTCTACGACGTCGTGCCTCGCGCTGACCTTCCCAAGGGCCACAAGCTGCTCCGCAGCATGGTCATCTTTCGGAGGAAGCGTGACGACCAGGGCAAGGTGATCAAGTACAAGGCGCGCTGGGTTGCCAAAGGCTACTCCCAGGTCCACGGTGTCAACTACACGGACACCTTTGCCCCGACGGCTACCATCGCAGCCATCCGCACCATGCTCGCCATGGCCGTCGCGCGTGGCATGGACATCCAGCAGATGGACGTCAACACGGCGTTCCTCAACGCCGCCCGTGGATCACGAGATCTACGTCCAGCCACCGGCCGTCGACGGCATCTTCTCGCCGAATACGGTCCTGCGCCTCAAGCGCGGGCTGTATGGGCTGAAACAAAGTTTGTTGGTTGACTCGATTGAAGGCTTTACATTTCAAATTGCCTGAATGTTCTCGTACGACGTTTAAAATGACAGTGACCTTTATATAGCACATGGCCAAACACACACTGACTACAGTTTGTGCTGTTGTACTCGCCCAGCCATCCGTCATGTCATCCGAAAACCAGCGTCATTTCCAAGACTGCCCACCACTCGCTTCCATGCATGATGGCTGATCCAAAGCACGGGTGGGTTGTTTTGACAGGGTGCTGGTAATGTCTACATGCCAACCGTACAAGCGTCTTTGGAATTGTTTATGATTGTTCGTGTGCTGTTGTCTTGTAGTTGCTGTGCACCCTCATTCTTGTTTCATCACACAACACAACGAAACATTCCAACGAATGGGCGAACCATGTCACCCAACATGAATAGAGCGGAACCGCACGACGACAAAGATGAGGACGGGCATAAGCCCCCTCTTCTTCCATCACCTGGACTGGCTGGACGCCTTGGGCCTCGTGTTGGCCACAACAGTGGTAGTCGAGGTGCTTATCACGGTCGATACGAACACCGTCGCTCCAGTCATCATCGGGATGACCATCGACGTCCTGACGACTACAGGCGCCATGACCGGTACAGGCGTGACGATTTCAGGCGCGACGAAGACCGGCGTCCATACGATCGCCGCGGAAACCTGCGCTATGATCGCGGAGATAGACGCGGGGATCAGGAGCGTGATCGACCACGGAGGCGCCGGCAGGATTCTGAGTCATCCGACCAGCCGCGCAAGCGCGGCAAGTACTACGGCAATGCCGACGAGGAGGTTGTGAAGCACATCGACCAAGTGC